AAATAAATAAATAAAAATAAATAGTAAAGGAGATTGAAGGGAGAATAATAAATACATTAACTTAATTATTGCTCATAACAAAAAAACTATACACATTTTCTAAGGAAATAAAGGATTAGCATTATTAAATAAATGTATTATTATACACGTAAGCACTAGAACATATCTTTTCTTTCAGGAGAAATATACACAAACAAGAAGGTAAAGATCACAGTCAACATAGTGAAAATTTTTTTAAAAAATCTACCAAAAGAAAACATCGAATAAAACAATAAAATTTAGCCCAAACATATCTGTCATACCAATAAATATAAATGAATTAAATTTCCCTATTAAAAATGCTTTCAGATTGCATCACAAAGTAAAGCTTACACTAAGCAATGTGATTCAAGAAAGGTTGAAAAAGAGAAGATGGTCAAAGATATACCAGGCAAATGCAAACAAAAAGAAAGCAATGTTCATGATATAAATATGATAAATCCGTCCCCTCCTCCAAAGAAAAAAAAGCAGTTGCCATCCAGTGGATTCCAACTCAGAGCAACCTATAGGGCAGAGCAGAACAGCACCGTAGGATTTCCAAGGAGCAGCTGGTGGATTCAGACTGCCCAATTTTTCGGTTAGCAGCTGAGCTCTCAACCAGTGCACCACCAGGGCTCCACATTAATATGATACAAGGTTGAATTTAAGCTCAAAACCATTAAACAAGACAAAGACAATTTATAATACTAGAGTGTAGCATGACCCCAATAAAATTCCCACAAGATTTAATTTTGGAGTTGGATTAGCTCATTCTAAAGTTCACATTGAAAAGCCAAATATTTTTTCTGTTGTTTTTTTTTAAAGAGTAATAAGAGGATACTACTCCTTCCAAATAGTACATAATATATCCTAAAAACTCAAAAGTTTAAACAGTGTGCTATAGTGCCGTTGCCGCCGGGAAAGGGGCCGAGGGGAGGGGGCGTCTCCTGGAGCTCCGTGGGCAAGAGGCTACAGCAGGAGTTGATGATCCTCAGCATGTCTGGCGACAAAGGAACTTCTGCCTTCCCTGAATCAGACAGCCTTTTCAAGTGGATGAGGACCATCCATGGAGCAGCTGGCACAGTATATGAAGACCTGAGGTATGAGCTCTCTCTGGAGTTCCCCAGTGGCTACACTTACAATGCGCCCACGGTGAAGTTCCTCACGCCCTGCTACCACCCCAACGTCGACACTCAGGGTAACATCTGCCTAGATATCCTGAAGGGCAAGTGGCCCGCCCTGTATGACGTCAGGACCATCCTTCTCTCTATCCAGAGCCTACTGGGAGAACCCAACATCGATAGCCCTTTGAATACACATGTTGCTGAGCTCTGGAAAAATGCCACAGCTTTTAAGAAGTACCTGCAGGAAACCAACTCAAAGCAAGTCTACAGACAACAGCTCTGACTTGGTCTAACTTCTCTCCTTGCGTTCTCTTTGTTTTTTTGTTTTTTCCTTAGATGGTCTATCCTTTCCTTGATTTCTGTATAGGACTCTGTATCTTTTGTTTTTTAAATTATGTCTCCATTTAAACCCTCGCGATGAATACATTAAATAAATACATTTTGAGGTTTTTTTTTTAAACAGGAAAAGAATACTTAATACTTAAAATATACAAAATAAAGTACCCAACTTACAAAACATAAATTCTTTTGGTTCAGCGATTACACCACTATTTTTACCTTTCAAATGACTACGGACATCATCCCCTCAAAGTGAACTCAGACTGTCCCCCTCATAGTGGAAGACGTCGTGCCAAAACCATCATACACACCAATGTTCAGTGAAGTTATTGGCAAACTACATGAAATAGAGCTGTGGGGTAAGAAGAGGCAGAATGATTTGGTCTAAAGAAAAAGGGAGACTTCGCACATGCAGAATAAGTCACTGGGAGAGGGCTCTTTGCTGGGTTGCTACTGTGAGTCATAACTCTGTACATGCTACATAAGGCCAAGTTCCCTGGTACGATCACACACTAATACAGACAATCCAGTGACCCTGACCATTCCCAGGGAAGACAGAAGAAAAATACAGATAGATTTCTGGAACAGAAAAGAAAGTTCATAAATAAACCTAAATACATGTGGGAATTTAGTATTTGATAATGGACAAAACAAATTAGTGGGGGGAAAGATGAATCGACCAATAGATGTATTAGAATACCTAGTTAACCATGTAGAAAAAAGTTGGACACATAGCTCACTCCTTATACCAGCATGCATTAAAGATGGACCAAGGATTAAAATATAAAAAAGAAACTAGAAGAGAACTAGAAGAAGTCATGGTAGAATTCTTTATTGATCTTGTGAGGAATAAGACCTTTCGATCATTAACAGAAAACCAAAAAGCACAATAAAGATTCGTAGATTTCTATGTTTCATAAACCTTCAAAACAAAGTCAAAAGAAAAATTGAGAATTGAGACAAATATTTGCAACTCACGTCATCAAAAGCTAAATTTTCTAATTTATAAAAAACTTCTACAAATGAGTACAATACCAAACCAACAGATTACCTTGGATGTTAAGAGAGAGTTCCCAGAAAAGGGAATACAAAGAACTCTAAAACTAAGAAAAGATCTCAATCTCACTCATGATAAGAAAAATACAAATTTATTCTACTTTGCAGCACTATTCTTCACTTTTAGTTTTGTAAAGATAAAAAGTTAAATCATGGAAATGTAAATTGGAACAAACTTTATTGAGGGCAATTTGTGATATCTGTCAAAATTAGGCCACCATTCTTGTCAGTTTGTCCTACTGTGGTGGTTTGCATGTTGCTATGATGCTGGAGGACCCCTGGTTGCACAGTGGTCAAGAGATCAGACTGCTAATCAAAAGCTTGTCACGTCGAATCTACCAGCCGCTCCTTAGAAACACTGTACTGGTAGGGTATTCTACTCTGTCCTATAGGGTAGCTATGAGAAGAAACTGACTGTACGGGAGTTAGTTGTGTTTTTTTTTTTTTTCTTTTTGCTTTGTTTTTATGATACTGGAAGGTATGCCACAGGCATTTCAAATAGCAGCAGGATCACCCATGATGGACAGGTTTCAGTGAAGCTTCCAGACCAAGACAAACTAGGAAGAAAGGCCTGGAGATCTACCTTTGAAAATTAGTCAGTGAAAACCCTATGGATCACAACAGAATATTGTCCAATATAGCACTAGAAGATGAGCCCCCTTTGGTTGGAAGGTGCTCAAAATACACATTGGCCACAACAATGGACTCCAGCATACCAACAACTGTGAAGATGGGACAATGAGGCAAAGTTTCAGTCTGTTGTACATGGGGTTGCCATGAGTCAGAGCTGACACGACAGCAACTAACAACACAAAAAAACCCAACAACATCAAAATTAAGAATGACAAACCCTGTGAATCAGCAATCTCACTTCTAGAATTTAGCCTAAAGATATTCTCACAAATGTACAACATGACATATAACAAGGCTATTCATTGTAACATTGTTCATGATAGCAAAGACAGGACACCCCTAAACATCCATCAGTCCAACTGATTGGCTAAATAAAATACGGTGCACACAGACAGTGGAATATAAATTGTCATAAAAAATGAAGAATGCTTTGAACAAGAACAATTTTCAATATATTGATTAAAAAGTTGCAAATGCTAGTAGAATTTGTTACTTTGTGTTATTAAAAATAAATAGAAGGAAAAAAGAAAGAAGAATGTTTGGCAGGCAAATATCACTTTGTATATATAAAAATATCTCTAGGAATATACCCAAGAAGCTAACATTTGCTGCCTGTGGGGAAGAGGTCTAGGAGGCTGAAGGCTAGACAAGGAAAAAATATTCTTCCTTGTGTACTGTTTTATGTAAATGTGAATGAACTACCTTTTTAAAAAGTAAGAGGAAAGAAAAGAAGATAGAAATAATTTGTCATCTAATAACATACTTGAAAACACTCTGTCGTCTCCATTCTTTAATCTGTAGGTAAGTTTCTTACATCCTTTCCTTGCCAGACCAGCTCAGTGATGATTCCATCTGTTTTCTGAGAATATGACTCTCCACCACTCCCTGGGCAAGCCTTCAAATGCCACATGCTACAAGGAGTCTCCATTGCTATTGGCTGGTGCCAAGGATAAGGCCAGCGATGTGGGTGCCAACATGGGTGCTGAGGACTGTGGTGTTGGCAGAGCGCAGTGACATCTTCGACAGAAAGTACAAGGACAGATACTCCTCAAAACTTAAAACTGGAAGTGGTGAATGCATGGATTCAAGAACGGGATTTTTTTTAATGTATTAGTTGTGTTCAAAAAACTTCTGATGATAACTGATGGAGTTAAGTAGTTGTTCTTAGTTGCTGTGGAGTCAATTTCTACTCATGGCAACCCCGTTTGTGCACGGTAGATCCGCTGTGACCTTTCAGAAGCAGATCTCCAGGCCTGTCTTCCAATGCTCTGTGGATGGATTTGAACCACAAAACTTTTGTCTAGTAGTCAAGCACTTACCCATTTGATCCACCCAGGGACTCCAAATTAAGCAGTCTCTTTCCAGATTAAGAACTGGTAAAGTAAAAGAAAGAAAGCGAAAAGGAGCCCTGGTGGCACAAATGGTTAAATACTAGGCTGCTAACTGAAAGGTTGGCAAGTCAACCCACCAAGCCACTCTGAAGAAGAAAGACCTGAAGATCTGCTTCAGTACATATTACAGCCAAGAAAACCCTATGGGGCAGTTCTACTCTTTCACATGGGGTAGCTATGACTCATAAATGACTTGAAGACACCTCACAATGATGACAACAAAGTAAAAAATAATAATAAGTAATGAAAAAGAAATCAAGAATCATTGGATCTAGCCTCCTCTTCACATGAAGAATGAGTAAACCATTGGGTTTTCTTTACTTACATCCTCTATATCATTCAAAGAAGAAATTAAGTGGTTTCAATAATGTATAAAATAATAAAATTTTAACTAAAAGAAATTTTTAAGTAAGACAAATTTGTCAATTAAGAGTCAAGGGTAAAGGGTGATATGTAACCTGGAGTGAGGACTTGTCCCAAATGGAACCCTGAAAGTTATTGTACATTTGTAGACCTGAGATATGAATTCAGCTCCTGGATTTCATGAGTCCACCAGGGAAAGAGATAATATTAACTACATAGAGTGCCTGTGAGCTTTGAAAATAAAAACAAAGTTGCTCAATAGATGCATGAACATTCTTGATAATGACACCAGAGAGAAATATTTTCCCTAGGTATTCCTAAACCCAATTCTGAGTCAGAGCGACCCTATAGGACAGAGTAGAACTTCCCCATAGGGTTTCCAATGCTGTAAATCTTTATGGAAGCAGACTGCCACAGTCTTCTCCTGCAAAGAGGATGGTAGGTTAAAACTGCCGACCTTTTGGTTAGCAGCCAAGTGCTTAACCACTGAGCAACCAGGGCTCCTAGGTCTTCCTAACAGGGTCTCAACATCCCTACAGCAAACACAGCCATGAGTTTTATAATATTGTTTACTTTATTTTATATTGATGGCATACTGTCAAAGCACAATTCAGTTGGGTAAAAGCAAATCAGCAAGAAACGAAGCTAGCTTAACTCTCAGGAACAGAAGAAAGAAATATTCTTCAGGTAATATTGTTTAAGTAATGTTTCATAAATTGGGTTTCTCTCACTGAAGTTTTATGAAGTGCCCATGGACTCAAAGTTATAAAGACACACCCAGAGTTGTCCCTCTGCTGCTGCCAGTTAATATCAGAGTCAAGTGGAAAAGAACTTGACATCTTCTTCCAAAAGCTTAGAAACCAAGGGACAACATCACAAGCTGAATATGAGACCCCCACTTCTAAAAGCTGGTGACCAGCCAGAGCATTGAGGGCAAGAGTCCCCTCAATGTTCATTCTAGTTCTGGAATGGCTCCCACTTAAGTGTGTAACCACGATGGCAAAGTTTTATGTGATAAGCCATAATAATTTAAACCATGAATTCTTTTAAGCAAGTATGACCAAATGATTCCCTGGGCCATAAAAATGTATCAAGAAAATGTCCATGGAATGTTTAATCCTGAGCAACATAATTCCCTTACGGAAATTCCAAGAGAGGATAGTTGCAAATTGTATGTCTCAAAAGCTGAATCGTGAGCCCATTTAAAGGGGAAGAAGTTCAGTCTAGTGCCCAAACTCCCATACTAGTTCCTGGTATGTGGTAGGAACTCAACAAGTGTTTGTTGAAAGAACTTGCTAGGTAATGTTGTTAACCACAAGTCACTTAAATATCGAGGAACATCTACCAAAATGATGTTGATATTAGAATGGTGGTTTAATTAGCTCTATATTGTCAGTATATCAATACAAAGTCCACTTGCTTATTCAGGTTCCTTTGGAAATTAGTTTCATGCCCATAAGTCATATCATCTGCAAAGCTCTGTACAGTCTCTACCTAGTATCCAGCAGCCTATTCTGCCCTTACTTGTAATGTCTCCTTCTGACAAGTGACTCTAGGAAGAAAGGGGTTCTAGAGGAGGAGGGGGAGCTTTCCTGGGCAGAGCAAACTGTGGGCAGCCTAGAGCCACTACATCCTTCACCACTAATGAAGATTCTACGGCTGCACTTTATGGCTTGTTTCAGGGTCACTGCACCCCAATAGTTAAGAAGTAATTGCCTATGTCCGGCACCAAACTACATGCTTTAACTTAAGGTTATCTCTTTCAGTAGCTAGATGACAAGAAAAACCACTGATCTCCATATCCCTTAACAACATTTGTATATTAAGAGTGCAATCTAATTACCCCTGAACCTTTTCTTATAATGTATTTTCCATTATTATCATCATTTTCTGGATATTTTCTTCATAGCCTTGTTAAAGAGAACTACCCCTCAAGTGGACCCAGTCCACTAAGTATGGGCAAGTTGTAACAAAGTGAGTATCATAGCTCAACTCTCTCACATCAGCCCCAGGAAGAACAAGGAAAAAAAAAACAAAAACTTTCAAAAAATCTGGAGTGTTTGACATGAATGCAGGCTCCCTGAAGACAAATCCAACTCCAATTTATGGTCTTGGATTGTGGTAATGATGAGGTACATTTCGGCATTAAGATATAAGGACTGTGTTTAGGGAGAGAGTCTTAGCCCCTTTTTTGCACATACAAAAGGATGGCAATTGCAATGAAGATGAGGGACTAGTACTGAATATTACCTAGGATCTCTTCTGGCTGTTCAGTCTCCTAATATCACATTAGGTCTCTGAAAGTCATTTTCACCTCCAGGACCTGTGCATGTGTATGTACTCATATCTCCCCCCTCACACACACACACATACACACACACACACATACTCACTACCACCACCACCTCTGAGAGAATAGAGGTCTTCTCTTCTGCGGCTGATTCTGAGATGAATGTATCTGACCAGTCCATCTGCAATTAACCCCTCTCCCACCTGAACTGCCTCCTAAGTAAGCACTCCCTTTGGGGCGTTTCCTTTGGATTTTAATTACAAGCAATACCATTAAAACCAAAGAGATTTTAAAAGATAAAACAAAATAATAAGTGGCAGGAATGTGTTTTAAAACGTATAATAACAACTTTTTCTAGTATTCGCTGAAATATTCCTAAATTCTTATTCTTTCTTTTATATTAAGTCATGCCTTAATTTTTCTCTTGAGAGCCAATCCTTCTCAACCTCTTATCTCCCACGTCTCCCTCACTTTTCAATAGATAAGTCTCAATTTTAAGTCCTACATGCATCATTATTTCTAGATCAGAACCCCATTTAGGAGGTTTAACAGGCTCGGAACCAAGGACAACAAATTTTAAATAGCAGCCAACTAAGCTCTAAAAGATAAAGGACAGATATTCTTCTTGCTTCACCCAGAGAATTCATCTCTGAATTTGTCTCTCAGATGGGCAACTGAGGGAACTTGGGAATCATTGTTGACTCTGACACGGCTACAGGGACCCATGATCTCTGATGATCAATTAGTCTCTGCCAAGGATAAGAAGGTCCAAGGAGACCCAAGGGATACAGGTTCCACGGAGATGGCAGTTGCCTCCCACAGGACCTGACTTACAGAAACCAATAGCTGTTTGTGTCCAGCTGTGCCAGTGGCCTCTGAAAATTGCTTCAGTGTGGGATATGCTCTCTTTAATAAAAAACTGAGTTGCCATTTTCTCTGCATGCCAAATGAAAGAGTAACTCATTAACCACAAAATATTTTTATTAAATTCTGTCCAATTCAATAATCCATTTTTCTCCATTAGTTAATGCATGTGCTTAAATTGTTTAGACCTCCATATCCAAAGATTATCATGTGTCCTTAACCTTGTTAGGAATGTGTCCTAATGTTCAGGAGAAAAACTATTCATTCCATGAAGAGTCTATCAGTGCTGTTGGTTAGTGCCTTGAGCTAACAAATATGGGGTTCTAGGTAGTAGCTAAATGAGTAGGTTTTGGAATAAGGCAGGTCAGATTCAAATCCTAGTCCTCTACTTAATGGCTGTGTAACTTTAAGCAAGTCACTCAAGATAATTATCTATCCTTTAGTCTCTTGATCAATACAAGGGGAATGATAGCTATCTTTACTGTTTTAAGAATTAAATGTGATAACGGAATATATCCTATAGCATTATGTTTGGACTATAATAAACCCATTGCTGTGGAATGGATCATGACTCATAGTGATCCCATTTGTTAGAGAGTAGAACTGTTCCGTAGCGTTTTCATAGCTGTAATCTTTAAGGAAAGCATATTTCAACGCCTTTCTTCCATAGTACAACTGGGTGGGTTCAAACCACCAACATTTAGGTTAGTGGTCAAGCACAAACCACTTGTGCCACCCAAGGACCTTTGGACTATAATAAGAGTACAATAAATGGGAACTATTGTTACAGGAAACATTAGCTTTGTGCAGGGAAATAATACTCCCTCTGACCAAAGAACACTTGAGTAACTCAGAAATGTCTAGAACCCTGGTCAGGATCAATTTAAGCAAAATTGTGAAGTGTATTAGGCTCATGTGTGATTCCTTCTCCAACCACCTTTCTCTCTAACCTCAATTTTCCCTATTAAAAACACACCCTCAAAATAAAAAAATAAAAAAAAGAGAACTGGTAGCGTGTGGTAGTAAGGGTTATATTTAGGGTTACAGAAACCTGGAACTCATCTGCACCACATGTTTGCTATGTGAGCTTGGACAAATTATGTAAACTCTATGAACTTCTATTTCATCATGAATAAATAAGGAATATATCAAAACTATCTCACAGTATTTCTGTATAAATGAAAATTTATGCAAACAGTTTTTAAATATTAAATAAATATTAGTTATTGTTTTGGGAACAAAAGATGAACTCGGTATGAAAATTATTGAGATGGTAAAAGGTTATTAACAAGGGTACCTGCACTTTAACATGACACCAACATTTCAGTACATGGAATGACATGACAGTGGTGGAATTTCAGGTATCCACTGTCTTCACACTTTGACCTAGAGCCTCCTGAACATCCCACCACTTTCCACCACAGGAATCTCTTTTTCTCATCGCTGTCACTCCCTACTGTTCTTTCTTATCTTTTACATCACTTCCTCTTGGCTCCTTATTTTTATGTTCGTTTCTTCTCTGCTCTCTTCCCTTTTGCGTGTAAAATATCTTGTCCATGATACCAATCAGCTTTATGAGATCCTTGGTGGAGCTGATGAGATATTGATGCTTCTCTTGACTCAATCAGTGCCAGCAAAATGATCTTGCCTTTTTCTTCAAGTAGGTAAATGACATCCATATATCAGACTCTACAGGCTCCATGTAAGTACCTCTGTTAATGATCTTTTTATTTGCTCCAAGTATCATAAAAGGGTTATGTAAGAGACCTTTGAAACGGGTCCTGAGGGGTGAGGGAACTAGGTTGGGGTCACAGATAATTTGTAGAAAAGCAGGCGTGAACTCTTGTCCTCAGCCTTTGGGTACATTTATATGGCACCATGCTGGGAATCACTGACTTTAGAAAAGGTGCTGTCATTTTGAATTGCCTTCTCTCCCTCTCAGGCTTGCCTAGAACCCAGTCCCTCACCAAATGTGAACACAATACCTCCTTCCCAACCTCATTTCTTTGGAAAATTGTGATATAGATCAATACTTACTCCCTCCTGCAAAATTATCAAAGATATTGAATTAGAAAGAGTCCCAAGAGATCCCCACTTCCAACTCCCAAACAAGGAAGGTAAGGTGCTAAAACCCTGAGGCCTGTCGAGGGTTATTTTCTACACACAAACTGCCTTTCCAGGAACAGGATGTTCTCTATGATCTGAGACCCACTACAGACAATTGTTGGTTCTCCTTTCCACTCCTATCCTGAATCTCTGCCTTTACATAGTACTTTCGTCAGAGACCCCTTCACATCCTTGTTCCTTAGGGTATAAATCAGAGGATTTAGCATGGGGATAATTATAGTATAAAAAAGGGCAACAAACTTTCCCTCACTCAGAGAATAACTATGCATGGGTTGGAAGTACGTGTAGATGGCTGAGCCATAAAAAAGGAAAACCACCAAGAGGTGGGACCCACAAGTCCCAAAAGCCTTTCTACATCCAGCAGTTGATTTGATCCTCAGCACTGCCTTAGCAATGTGGACATAAGAGCCTAGAATTAGTGCTGCAGGAAACACCATGATGATGACTCGGGCCACAAACATCTTGACTTCTGTCCCTTGTGTGTCCTCACAAGCCAGCTTCAGGAGTACAGGCATCTCACAAAAGAAGTGGTTCAGGTAATGGGGGCCACAGAGGGGCATGGCCATCAAGAGGCCTGCCTGAACCGCAGAGTTCATGAAACCTCCCACCCAGGAGATGACAGCCAGTGTCTGGCAGAGACGGGGGTGCATAATGGCCGTGTAGTAGAGTGGTCGACAGACAGCAGCATAGCGGTCAAAGGCCATCACCACCAGAAGCACAGACTCAACAGAGCCGAGGGCAAGGGAAATAAAAAGCTGGGCCATACACCCTCCATAGGGTCAGATCCATGAAGGTTGATCAGTAGCTGAGGCACAGTGCTGGTGGTATAGCAGAGGTCCAGGAAGGAGAGATGACAGAGGAAGAAGTACATGGGTGTGTGCAACTGATGATCCAGGCAGGAGAGAGCAATGATGGTGGTATTGCCAAAAAGAGTTAGGGAGTAGAAAATTGAAATAAAGATGAAAAGGGCAAGTTCCAGCTGAGGCCAATCTGAGAAGCCCACCAAAATGAAGCCTTCTCTGGAACTAGTGTTGAAACTTCCCATAGCCTTTCACTTGTAAAAACACCAGAAGACAATTTAATGCCTCTTATGAAGAACATGGGCCGGTGTTTCTCAAACATTTAAGCGCTCAGCTACTAACTGGAAGGTTGGAGGTTCGAATCCACCCAGAGGCACCTGCGAAGAAAGGCCAGACAATCTACTTCTGAGAGATCATATCCATTGAAAATGCTATGGAACACAGTTCTACTCTGAGACACATGGTGTCCTCATAAATCAGAACTGACTACAGCGATTGATTTGGTTTGGTTTATGAAGAACCTGGATTAATACATTAGTTCACAGTATTCCCTAAATACTGCTAAATCATGTATTTTATTATCTATTTTGCTCTTCAGTTCTGTTCTGTCCAGTCTTCTTTTTTGACTCTTCTCTTTCTAGAGGGGAGAGCACTGGATTAGGAATAATGTAAATTTTGTTTGAACTCTATTCTTGTTGACTGCTCTTTCCATGAGTTCGGCCATACCCCTTAATACCTTGGATCTGATGTTTCCTTGTCCTAAAGTAGAGGTGATGTATTGCCTCCCTTTAGGCATTGTGGAAAGGACTAAATGTAATAATATGAAAATTGCTTTTAAAAATCTCAGGTGTAAAAATGTAGTATTTGTATTCTATGTTGTTTTCTTTTGCTCTTTTTCTTGACCTATTAGGTAGCATGTTTCAATAGAATAGAACCATGGATAATGAGGTTGAGATCTCAACTTTGATGTCTGGGAGCTCATTTGCTTCCTTCTGCTCTATGAATATGATCAGCTCACCATTCCTGAAGCCCTGCTCAAGACCAGCTGCCATTTGTTACAAAGGACTGAGAAGAGTATAGATCCATCGATTTGGGGGGAAAAGAAGCATTAGCAACAAATATCCTCCTTATGATAAGTCATCCTGCCTGGAATACACTCTCACTTCTCCAACTGATAAAGTCATCCCTCAACTCTCCAGGAAGAGTTAGTTTTTCCCTCCTTCTAGCCCAATCCTCTTTGTACAATTTCTCTCTAGCACCTGTAACACTGCATTAAAATTTTTTTTACATGTCTTTGTCCCTCTCTGAGCTGTGATCTTCACAGTAGTAGGGAACAGAGTGAATACAAAAATAAATATTAGTGTCTTCCCTTATGTTACACAAGAGATACTAAATTAATGTTACTTTCATTATGGCATATAGTACATGTTAAATAAATTTTGTTGAATAAAAAGGTTTACTCTCCCCTCATATCTCATGGAAATTTATTTACTCTAAGAAACATACAGATTAATTACTATTACACTTTGACATACTAATAAGTGGAATATACATAAAAAGTTTCTCTCCTTTAAGATTAATATTTCTTGTAGTTAAATTCTAAAAAGGATTATAAACAGTGCATCAGCAAGGGAAAGAAAAGAAAGAAGTGTTCACCTATAGACTGGCATATGTTCAATTAAAATAATTTTTGGCTTTCTGTTTATTGTCATGGAAAATTCACACAGGGATATTGGTGATGGTTTGACAACATGATTAATGTAATTACTAAATAGTACACGTGAAAAATCTTGAACTGGCAAATGCTGCATTATATACATATATTTATATATAAAAAACAAAAATAAATAATTTTTTAAATAATAATTTTTGGCAAATTAACTCATTTCACTTTTTTGTTAAGTTTACTGAACAAGTAGACCATAATCAAAGAATCAATATTGGATCAGTAATTCCAGCAAGGTATTTGGATGCCACTTTTCTTAGGCTGGGTTCTCTAAAGAAGCAAAACTAGTGTAGCATATAAATAGAGAGAGAGATTTTTATAACAGAAATGGCTCATGTGGTTGTAGAGCCTAGAAAGTCTCAAGTTTGAAGGTCAGGCTGAAGGCTTTCCTGACATACGGCTGGAGAATTGACATACCTCTGAAGTAGGACAGTGAAGATGTATTGTTAGCCTTGCCAGCTTAAAGCAAACAGCTTCTGGTGTTCCTTCAAAACAGGCATGGAGAAAAAAGCATTAATCAGATGAACAGCTGCATACCAGGTACCAGCAGATGTATTAATTTGCTCAAGCAATAAGACTACATCTGGAACAGCAGCTGCAATTGGAGTCACCCCCTGGTTAAGTTTTCAATAATCCACTGTCACTTTCCAAGATCCATCTGTTTTTTGCACTGCCTAAATTGGCGAGTTGAATGGGGATGTGGTGGGAATCACCACCCCTGCATCCTTCAAGTCCTTGATGGTGGCACTAATCTCTGCAATCCCTTCAGGAGTGCAGTATTTCTTACTATTTTTCCAGGTAGAGGCAGTTCTAATGAATGGCTTCTACTTGGCTTTCCTACCATAATAGCCATTACTCCACTTGTCAGGGAGTAAATGTGGGGATTCTGCCAGTTGCTAAGTGTAATCTATTTCAATTAAGCATTCTGGAATTGGGGAAATCACTATAGGATAGGTTCGGTGACACACTGGACCTTACTGTGAAACAAACATGAGCTAAGACTCCATTAATAACCTGACCTCCATATGCCCCCACTCTGACTGATGGGCTACAGTGACATGACATTTTGGGTCTCCTGGAATTAGTGTCAGTTCAGAGTCAGTATCCAATAATCCCTGAAAAGTCTGATTATTTCCTTTTTCCCAATTAACAGTTACTCTCCTAAAGGCCATAGATCCCTTTGGAGATGGCTGGGAGAAAGACTAATGTATAAATTTTGGGCAGTGTAGTGGGGTCCTCCCTCAAGGAGACATGGCCTCCACTTCATTCAAGGGGTTGTGGGTCTGTAATCTGGCTCATGTCTGGGATTTGATTGAGGGACCATGACTCTCTATTCTGGCAATTCTAAGTTAGACTGTCCTTCACTTAACCTAGAATTCACCCATTTGTACAGATCAAGTAAATATTTAGTACATTTCCCATCTATTTCACTCCTAGGGACACCATGACTAAGTAGTCGATGCCATGAGTCCATAGGAGTCAGACTATTCTGATTACTGCCTTGACTCTGCTGTCCATTACAGTAACCATGTCCACCATGTCTTTGTTGACTGAATGCTGCCACTTGGCCCCTACCACCACAGAGTCCAAACAGCCCCATTGTAGTTAGATGCCTTAATTCAGTTAGGAAAGCTCCCACCGTCAAATCTGACTTCTATTAAAAAAAAAAAAAAAAAAAAAATCTTCAAGGACACTGTGGCTCCTTTTACAAATTTGTTCCTCGTCGCTGTGGTAAAGTGTGTGTCCTCTAAGTACTCCATGTGTAGGTCTGTGGGTGTAACCTGATAAGTCTACTCTAACATAACAATTTTCCTAAACCTTTTGATACCTTCTTCTACAGTATACCATGGCAGGTCTTGTACTTCAACTTTATTTAGTGTAGGCCTCTGTGTAATCCATGCTTCAGTGATCCAACCAAATAAACTATGAAATCATTTCCTAACCTCTCCAGCTGAAACATTGAATAAAGAATCTATGTTTAGTGGGCCCATATCAATAAACTCAGACTGATCCATCTTTATGTTCCTTGCACCGTTATCTCACACCACTAATAGCCATTCCAACATATATTCCTCAGGTTTCTGTTTGTAACTATTAGAAAAGTCAAGCAGTTCTTTTGGAGTGTCGTGTACCTTCTCCTAGGTCACACTTTGTGCTTCACCTTTTGGAGTTCACTGGGACTTAAGTCTAGCTATAGGTCTAGAAGCTAAAATGGCCAGTGTGGATGTGTTTTAAGGACATTTAGCATTTTTTTGTAGGGCATCTGCCTCAAGTGATGCCCCAGGCAATGACTCAGACAAAGGCTCTTCAGACACACCTTGGTTAATCTCATCAAATAGGGGTGGAGGGGTGAATGGTTTACTGGAGAGGGTGACTTAGCAGGCAAAGATGGAGTAACCTCTTCAGATGGAAGTAAGAGGGCTGATTCTGTTGGCAGGAGTGATTCAATGGAATTTAGGGACTCAGTGTCTCCATCCCAAGTTTTAGGATCCCATTTTTTCCCAATCAATGCCCTCATTTTAACTTCAGACACCACTCGATGTTGGGAATCAGTTCGATTTGTAATTCAGCCACTCTTACGATAAGGCTCTGGGTTTGGTTTTCAGTAATATCGGCTCTATTACTACAAGAAATAAGGCTTTCTTTCAAGGCACAAGTGAAAACTATGAGGTCGTTTATGCAGCACTTGAGCTTTGACTCTGAAGCCCTAAGCTCATCTCTTTCTTTCCTCATTTTGTCTAGTGAAAGTAGGACTAACCAGCGAGCTTCTTTATACTTCTCATGACAAAATTATAGACAGGTATCAAACATGTGATCATGAAGAGCCTTGACTGTCACCAACACCTGATCTATTGATGGTGATATTTTGTGTATTTCTATTGCCAACTCACTCCATGGATTAGCAGTGCCCTCTTTACTACTGGCAGCAGAGTCATTAACATCTTTAAGACTAACCCAACTTCAGAATCAATTTAGAGAACTCATCATTACATTTTGTTTCTTTAGAGCCACTCTTGGTACCAAATGTCATAGGCTGGGTTCTGTAGAAGAAAACCAGTGCAGTGTATAAATATATATATATATATATAGACAGAGAGAGAGAGAGACATTTGTATAAAGGAAATGGCTCATGCAGTTGTAGAGGCTAAGAAGTCCCAAGTCCATGGGTTAGGCTAGAAGCTTATCATGACTCATGCAGCTGCAGGTGTTGTGGAATCCAAGATCAGAATGTATGATAGGAGGATTCTGGCTCACACAGTGTGGAGGCTGACAAAATCCCAAGATTGGCAGGTAAGATGCTAGCTCATCTCAAGAACTGGAGGTCAGATGAACAGGAGCCAGCTGCAGGATCCAGAGCAAGCAAAAGCCAGTGTGCCTTGCCAGAAAGTCCACCTATATTGGCTGCAAGCCACAACCCCAAGGAAATTCCCTTTCAACTGATGCTGCTCAAAACAGATCTCATCATGGAAGTGATCACACTATATCAGACCTCATTACGGAGGTAATTATATTATTAAA